GTTGAGGAGTATATTGCAATTTATTCTTTATTTTTCTTTTTTGTTTTATTTATATAGGAGGGTATAATGGTCATCTTATGATAAAAATTAGGGAAAAGGACCTTCTGCACCAAAAATGTGAAAGGTAAGAACGTTCTGCGCCAAAAAACGAAAGGTAAGGACGTTTTGCACACAACCATGCAAAGGTAGGGACGTTTTGCGCCATTTACCCTTTGTATTATCTAGTTCATCGATTTCTCTATTGTTTAAAATTGTTATTAAATTGAATTTTTAGCACTGGCTTAAGATTATTTGATAATTAGGGTTAATTAGAATGCTAGTTTTTAATTACCTAAAATTAAGGAAAAATAGGAAATTATTCTAACGATGTATATTGTGAATATGAATTAATAATTCTTTGTGAATTGATGAATTGTTATAAATTTCCAATGGTGGAAGTTGACTTTGATCAAGACTCGTTTAATTGATTTAATACAACTTGTTAATTTACATTGTTATTTGTTATAAGATTGATTTCGTTATAAACAAACCTCCCCAATCGTTATACGAAACATAAATTGTTGAATTGCACACTCTTCGTGTGATCGACCCTTACTTCCATTATTACGTTAGTTTTAAAGGTTTTAAAACTATTTTTGGGTGCCTACGACAGCACACCAACTATGAGATAGGAGATACATTATCTATCTCTATGCATCGACAACGAGATCATAAAAGCAAATAAGGTCGCATCTCTATACATGATCCATGTTTTTTCAATTCTTGGCAAATATCCTTTCTAGTTTCTACCTTCCTGCCCTCAGTTAGGGTTTCATCGACAACAACCAATCAATTTCTTGACCCTGAAAACAGTAATAATTCTTTTACAATTTTCATATATGATGAATTGTGGTAAGACTTGATTCACAATATTTGCCTACCCTAATACCATATTAATCCACCTATAATCACATGAGTGTGCTGAAGCCCATCTTAACTTTAGTATACGATGATATAACAAAACTCATACAACATTGTAGGCTAGAAAGAGCCGATAGTTTTCTCACCGTGTGTATTTACTCTAAGGTGAATAAAGAAGTTTTCAAAAGGAATTTAAGACCTTTTCTTACAAAATGGTGTCTCAAAAGGAATTTCAACTGTACATTTCAGGTACAAACCTCACTTAGATTTGGTCAGCAACAAACAGCCAACCTTGCTACAATGTACAGAAGAATCAGCCGGCCACTCTTCCTTCTCTTAATCTCTCACTCTATACGTATATCTGTTGCACGTACATGGGCTATATATATGCACAGATCCTCCTGTGTTTCATATTCAATGCTCCAAGACTCTTAATATACTATACAAGAGATGGCTAAACAACCAAAACTTCGACTCTCTCTTCTTTCTCTCCAATTATGTCGTCCCACAAAATCTTCTTCATTGCCTAAGGTTCCTTTGCCTGTTGCTGCATACAAGTTCTCCTCTGTTAATTCTAGATCATTCGACATTTCCTGCCTCGATTTTCCAAGCCCTCCACCATCGACCCCGAATCAATCTTTCCACAAATGTCACGTGTCATCAAAAATTTCCTCACTCGGTAGTGGATCATGCTCAAATCATGTGACATCCAAGTGCAAAGACGAAACTTCGACCCCTGTGTTTTACAAGATGAAAAGAGTAGACAAGCCTAATGCAAAAATGCACAACTCTACAGTTTCAAGATTCGAAAGGGAGGGAAAAAAGGACAAAATCATAACAAAGAAATCAGAAGCTAGTGTTAGTACGAGCACTTCATCAGGAGATGGTGATAAAACTAAAAGCCTCCTTTCATCTTCTCCAAGGTCTGATTTACCATATGACTCGGATTGTCCATTGAAGACAAAAAGAGAGGGGCCCCTCAATGAAAACAAGAAAACGAAGCAGAGAAGTATCAAGTCACAAAGATTTAAGCATTGCAGGTCAATTAATGAGAAAGATGGCAACAGGGCTTTTCCAGAAATTGAGTCTCGGGTGAAGAAGACGGTTTGCATGGTGGATGGAAAAGTGAGAGAGAGTTTTGTCGTTGAGAAGAGGTCTGCAGACCCTTATGAGGATTTCAAAACATCAATGTTAGAAATGATACTGGAAAAACAGATGTTTGATGCCAATGAATTGGATCAGCTCGTGCTATGTTTTCTGTCTCTCAATTCACGCCAGTATCATTCTGTCATTCTAAAAGCTTTTGTGGAGATTTGGGAGGAACTGTTTTGTGGATCTACAAACTAGTCTCGGTATTAAAAATTTTATCAAAATATATCAGTTTTCATTCATTGTTTATATAATTCTTTTGTCCTGTATGTGCTAGGGGTGCCAATCAAGACTGCCAGTGTGAACTAGTGAGCTTTTAAATATAGATCTTAAATACGTGAGAATATGATTTTGTGTTGCTATCTCTCATAACTAAGTTGGGATTTCAAGGGGAAAAAGAAAAGAAAAAAAATTGTCTGGTTGAAGTTGATTAGTGCAACCCAAATTAGAAATATAAGCAGTTTAGTTCAGCTTTTAAGTTATAACTATTGAAAGGTTGATGAGAGAAGACCTCATCTGGTTTCTTTCTTAAATAGTGTGGTAAAATGGAAAAATAATCCTGTAAGCATTCATAAAAGCACAATTTGAAGAAGTTTTCTGGAAAAAGATTTTATTAAATTTTCTGTTTTCTAACACCTTTCCAGTAACCAAATCAACAAGAGTACCAATGCTTGCATAGATAACTGATAAGCTATTCCGACTACCAGATATGTGGAAAGAGGTACATTATGGTAGGGAAATAGTATTCTAGAGTCACACAAGAATATATCATTTCTCAAATCAAACAATAGTCGTGATTCAACAATTACAGATAATGAAAAATGTATAGAGAAATGGATTTCTAGGATAAGAATTAACAAATATCTTTTGCTCAATAGCAGCAAGGCACCCAGATGCCAATAGAAGAGGCACTTAAACTCCGCTTCTAGAATTGAGCATCAGATGGGAAGTGCCCATTTAAGAAATACGAGAGAAGTTATTGTACTTGCACTATATATCGAACCTTACAGTTTTTTGCTGTCAGAAACTTGGCAAGTCACGTCATCTTCAATAAACTTGACATGACAGAGCTTTCCACCGGCTTCATCGGCAAACATAATCTTTTTCCTCTCTCTAGGGACTGCATTCTTGGAAGCAGGAACCTTGTTCTGGGTCAACTTCTACAATTAAGGGGGCAGTGTGATCAAAATTAGAAATCTGGTAGAAAGCAGAATGCAAGTACTGTTGAACAATAATACAAGGCACAAACCATTATTTTACAAAAGCGGTTGCAATCTCTGGCCATCATGGATAACCACTTCCTTGATGTTTCTTCAACTTTTGTGGCATTATTGATCACTGCTTTAACCTGTCAATATGAAATACTTGAATACTTTAAAAATTATAAACATATCAAATACAATGTTTGCTTGTATGCATATCCAGAAATATAAAGCCTGCCTAGTGGTGGCAAAAAAGCTCGCCGGCTCAGGCTCGGCCCGGAAAAAGCCCTAGCTAGGCCCGGCTCGGGCTCGGTGGAACCGAGCCCCATTTTGGGGGGTTGGCCGAGTCGGGCCGGTCCGTGATTAATAAAAATAATAAAAATAATTTTTTTAAAGCTAAAATAGCTGAAAAAATTTTAAAAAAAATCGAGCCGGCTCGACCCGCTAAGGCTCGGGCCAAAGCTCAGGCCGAGCCTTATTTTTTTTGGCCGGGCTCGGCTGGGGCAGAAAAAAGCTCGGCCCCAAAAAGCTCGAGCTCGGCTCAAGCTTTTTTTCCGGCTCAGCTCGTTGACACTACTAAGCCTGCCCAAGAAACAGAAGGTATCCCTGCAATTAAGGAATTTCCTACAATCGAAGTTCTGAAGGATACTAATCAACAATTTATCATGCATAAATATACAATCATTACTGTTTCTAATATAAAGTAAGAAAAGTTGGCCAAAATTGGGTTCAAGGACACAAAACAAAGGATTGCTTAGTAGAACAAAGGACAGAACTATGGTGAATGTGTCCTCATCTACTGGAATGGATACCACTAAAATAACATGCAGTTTAAACTGAGAAGCCACAAGTTTCAACATATTCCCATCACGGATAAGACCAAGAGCACAGACGACCTGGGATTGAGCAAAATAGAATAACGTTTTTTGTCATATAGGATTCACAAAACTGCTTCTTCTTTCTGATTCGATTGAACATTAAATAAAATATAATTGTGAGTGATCATGAACAAAAAATTAATCATTATCAATTACTAACTGGTGTAACTAAATCCACATGCAGGACAGAGTACAAAAATGGAACAAGACATAAAAAAGTAGAGAGTGGACCAGAAGCAATGGAGTCGCTAAGAAATGCAATGAACATACCTCGTCTGCATCATTTTTCAAGGAATTCTTGCGATATGCTTCAAAAAGCAATTTCTCTTCTACAAAGTCCTTCATGCACTTCAACTCATTCAGTAGCTTCACTGCAAGAGACTCTGTGTCATGCATTTGCTGCTGTGAGAATGCAATAGCACTTTCAGAACAACTTGTAGTGGAGGTGCATGCGGTGCTGAGGTTAGGTGGGGCCCGGGAAAAACGAGGACCCTCAAGATTGCCTTTGTATTTCTGTGATTTTTTAAAGATCTGTCCGTGGTTTGTAATGACTTTTCTCTGGCTAACTTGCACATGGCCTCCGTGGTTTTCAGTCATTTTAGGATGCTGAATATATGCTTCCACCGATGAAGCCTTATTCTCAGATTGTTTTTCAAACCACAGCTTCCCCGCGCATTCTGGAACGACTGGAAACATGGAGGTAAGTTTAAGAGAATATGAAGGAGATTTTGGCACATTTGGAAAACAAAACAACGTGCACATTCTATAAAATTTGAAAATCCAAGGACAGGAAGTTTAAGAGAGTGAAAGATTTTTAGAGTCTCGTAAAAGAGTGTCCATATTTTCCTTTTACCATCCATACTATACAGTCTATACTATTAAAACAACAGCTAAAGAATCGAACTCTTTGAGAAGAAAAATATTCCTAAATGGTGTGAAAGAAGATAAAGCTCTTCATTAAAAAAAATAAACAGGGTAATGGTAGTATGAAGGCGAATTTCTTTATATTTGACTCGTAAAACACATTTATCTAACAGCACATAATTTTCTTGTCAAGCATATATAACAAGTTGCTCAAATGATGCACCTCGAAACAAACACTTAATGGGGACCATTTAAATCCATCTCGAGCAATCACATTTATTTTCCTATGCAGTTGAAAGAGCAAGGCCGAGCAAGATAATTTCTTTTGTTGATAGCCAGCGAAATAGCTCCACCAAGAGTAACTTGAAGCGACCAACAGTGTTCTCCAAATTCTATAATGCGATTTATTTAGTCAATAGAACAGTTTATGCATTTGACTTACTATGTTGGTCAACGTCGTTGCTCAGGTTAACTGAATTTAAAGCCCAGCACAGTCTTTCTTGAGAAGATGGAGAGATGACCTGCAGAGTTTAAGCATTTACTTTAAAGTAATTCCAATAAGTAAATGTAAAACTGAATAATCACCAAAACAATCTATTTCTGACCTTTCGTGTTGATAAGAGCCTTTCAGGAGTTTGATGGAGCTCTGGCGTTAAGAGTGTCTCATCAACACAGGTTTGGTCCTTTAAGGATGACTTTCTTTCTCCAACAGTACTTGGAGCTGTTGGAGTTTGTTTTTCCTTATAAATTGATACCTCATCCTCCAGATGATTCTCGGAGATCGAGCCATTTCTTGGTATGGCAGATGATAACGGCTTTTCCTCGGGAGATATGATATCTTTCGCAGAAACTATGTGGTCATTTGTCTCGACGGAAACTTTGGGTTTCCAAGATGAGCCACATTGCTTTTCAGGATCAGTTACAGGATCATCTTGCTTACAGGGCAGATCTTCTTTAGCTTTATCCCCAAAGAGCTGAACATCAACTCCATGATGAAGTTCCATGCAGCCAACATCATTGTCAACTGTAGTGTCAGGAACTAGAACTCTAGAAGTCACAATCATTTTCCCTGATATCTCTTCAGTATTAGAACAACTTTGGGAGTGACTACACAGATCTGAACTTTGATCCCCAGGAGACAAAACTCCACAAGAAAGATCGTGCTCTATGATGTCCCCGGTTTCATTTTCTGAAGGAGACAGGACCAAAAACTCTAGGAAATTCATTTCTGAATTATCTAACATCACATCCTTCTCATCGATTGTTGTGAGCATAGAAATAGGCACAATGTGCTCCAAATGCTCACAGGAAACTTCATTGGTGAAACAGTTTTTGCTTTCTTCTGCAACCCTCAGTTCCCAGCTTTCATGATCAACCATTTTCAAGGTTTCATTTGAAGCCACAACACCGTTATGTGAATCCTCGTTATGGCTAATTGATAACTCATCAGAAAAATTTATGCTTTGCAATCCTACGTACTCAGGTTCAGGAACCTCAAGTTTTACAGGAAGGGGCAGATGTAATTCGCAAAGAATTAGGTCAGAAGCTGGAGAAACTAGATTCTGTTCAGATGTAATAGAAAGGGAAGTTTCAGTAGAGGCAACCACACTTCTTTTCATACACTTCTTTTTAGCCTTCGAAATCTTTGAAAGCTTTGACTTCCAGCTAATGATCGGTTCATTAAGATCCGATCCTTCTTCCATGAGCTTTTTAGTTTCCTCAGCTTGGTTAAAATCCTCATCAGTAAAGCTTTCAAATTTTCTTTTCTTTGTTTTACACCTTTTCCTTAGCTGGTTTAAAGTCATGTTGGCATCAAGATCACTGCTCATTTCATCATCATAACCAGAGGGAACCAACTTGTCTATTTCTGGTTTTGTTTCCTTTAATATTCTATCTACCACAGATAAACATGGGGTTTCACATTTGTCTAACACTGAATCTGCACATTTACCCCGTGAATTACTTGTAGGTCTTATAAGTCTTCTGGTGTCTTCAGCTTCATATATATCCTTTAGACTCTTGAATACAAGAGCTGGCTTTCCGTATGTATCTATATTCCGGACTTTCATCACCAAACCACTCCTTGCGGCTTGGATAAAATATGTATTCCTACAACTCCTCGTTTCCATTATCACGGGGAAAGTGAGAGTTTCTTCTATTATGACATGAAATTCTGTGGCAGCATGAAATGATAGCCCAAAAATAGAAGTTGGGTTCAGTTTTCAACCAACTTAAACGAATGCAGAGCCTTACCTGAGCAGAAATTAAAAAGTGTCAAGGCTTATTGGAGTGGAAGAAACCAAAGGAACTCGACCTCAACAAAATTACAAATTTTGAAGGCAGCCTAACAACACCAAACAATTGAAGCAAGCGCTTATGTTCACATAGCAAACATTTACTGAATTATCGGAGAAAAACTTTCGATTCCATTGATTACATAGCAAATCGTTTCAGATATAAGATATAGAAAATATAAAATGTGAAATCAAATACTTCAACCTTTTGCTTATGTTTCTCTGCCAATTGTACTACCACGTCACATTGCCCCGCAAGTTTTATATACGCAAATAAAGGTACAATCTTTATGTTTGACTATCGTTCTTTTCTTTCATAGGAACCTAATATTAACACATTTAACGTGGATGCAAAAAATCAGAATGAAAACAACTATACAAACAAGATCCGCAGCTAAAACCCCAATTACATAGACCTTCGAGCAAAAAAGTCAGATCAAGTGGTTAAAATTGAAATGAGATTCAGAAACAGTCAATAGCAAGCAGATCTAACTGTGGAGAGCAAACTGAAGCTAACCTTAAAGTGAACTCTCGAGATCGTTTAGAGAGATCGTTTAGAGAGAGGGATGAAGATGAGAAAATGGGCTGAGTTCAGTGTGATGAATTATGTGTAGAAATCGCGCCAAAATTATTTGGCGGGAATTAGGGCTTTGTATTCAGGGACAATTTAGGACAAGGCAAATATCGAGGAGCCGCCAAGGATGGTCAAGGTTATTTAAAAGAGAATTGCTACATTTATTGTCTTTAGAGACTGTAAATTAATCAGTGAGCTCCACATTCACGTAAGAGGACGGTACAATTTACAGTCCTTAATGATTGTACAAGTCATTTTCCCTATTTAAAATTTCGCGTATTGTTCTTCCAATAAATACCAACATGTCAAATCCACGCCTAATTTTTAAACTTCACCCTCTTGTAGATTAAAAATTATCGGAAATTTTAGTTCATACAGATTTTGAATTATATGTTAAAATAACGTTGATAGCCCAATAAACTTGCATTTGAAAAATACAAAGAACAATGCAAGAACAAGTTCGTTTGCTTAAAAATATGATAAATAAAATGACTGATCCAAAAATGTACAGTAGATGATCTCAACACAAGCATTTTTATCTCGATGTAGTTCGACTACTTTGTTAGCCATCAACCATTTCTTTTAAGTGAGAATATCTAGTTGTCCATTTTGACGCACAATTGTGATGCTTAATGCATTCGCATAATGTCGTTTTGTGTAGTGTAGTTTTAAAATGAATGAAGCTACTTAACCCTTGGTAGCTGTCGTTCATTAGTAATCAATGATAATACATAAATAGTCATTTTAAACACATATTACGGTGTATAATTCTCCCATATGTTAAGATATGAAATATAGGAATACACCGAAAGAAAGAGAAGCGCGGAGCAATGCGTGGGATTCACACAAAAAATATTTATTTTTCGAATAATCGATTTAATAATACCTAAATAGATTTCTATGCACAATAATTTTCATTCCCTAAATAGATTTCCATTTTTAATCTTACATTATTAAAAAAATATTATTCTAAACATTAAAATGACAAATAATGGGAGTCAAACGGGGCTCGGTGTGGGTAAAAAAGTGATTTTGAAAATTCGAGCCCGTTTGGTAGAGATTAAAATCGGATTAAAATTAAAAAACTAGCCGTTATTATTGATTTTTATTAGATGAGTAGGGTCCAATAACGACTATATTTTCAATTTTAATCAAATTTTAATCCATACCAAACCGGCTTCATAACAATTGTCAATGGCCTAAACATTCCAGCATCCAAAATTTCCCGCTTTTGGAGGACATACTATTCCGCTTTTTTCTCGAAATTTGAACCATTTCCCGCCTAAACCCTACTCTCCCGTATCATCATCCCAAATCGATTTCGCATATCTACACTGCAAGCCCAGCACCAACACAAGAGCTAAACCAATTCTCCATTTCTCCTCCTTTCTACCATCAAAGGTACCAAAATGGACAGTGACGACGATTACCAGTCATTTTCCCCTCCAAAGGAATCGCCGCCGCAAGTCCAGTATCAGAGGCTGAAACGACTGAAGAAATCAAATTCCGAGCCACCAAAAGGATCCTTGAAAGAGTTAATTAACGATCCACTCTTGTTCCCCCAAGTTAATTATGCGCAATTGGAAGCTTTGGAAAATGATTCCGAAAACCTAGACTTCAATGATTCTATTTCGAATCAAGAATCGTTTATGTTGCAGGAATCTCAGTCTGAGGGGTTTGATGAAGAGAAGGATAACGAATTAGAGAATCAGAAACGGAAGGAAGTGAATTTTGGGGTTAACAAAACTAAGAGGGCTTTGGAATTTGATGACGGCGTGACTGTTGGGTTTGATGATGAGGAGGAGAATGGATTAAAGAATCAGGAAGAGAAGGAAGTGAATTTTGGGATTGATGCGGAGGTTATCAAAACTAAGAGGGATTTGGAGTTTGACGGCAACGTGGCTGTCGTGTTTGATGGATATGAAGGTGGGATCGGAGAGAATGTTGATTTAGGTTTGGATAATTTTGAGAAGAAAGGGAGCTGTGAAGGTGATTTAGACGAGACAAAAGAGGACAAGAAGAAGAAAAAGAAAAAGAAAGTCAAGAGTGATAATGCTAATGAATCTTTATCCAAATTGCCAGTTTCAAACAAAAGGAGGGAAGAAAAGGTTTGATTTTCAATTTTTATTTGCTTGCACAGCGTCTGTTCGTTGATCTCAAGTGTAGTTGCAACCAGACTCACCTATTTGTTGTGAAGGGTTTCTTTATTTTATCTTTCGCAGTCTTGTTATAGCAAATCGAATATTATTGTGACTGAAACTGTTGTTTCGTGGATTTACAGGAAAGAAAGGCTTATCTGCAGCAACTTCACGCAGAATCTCAAAAGCTACTACGAGGTTTTTCCACTAACTCTTGTAGATCTGAGTTCTTCTATATCTTTCATTTTCTTTTAGGGTCATCTACGATGTGCATTTTCTAATTTAATTTTCGAAGTGTTTTGTTCTGGTTAGAAACTAGAGATGCAGCATTTAAGCCGATACCAGTTGTACAAAAACCCATATCATCTGTATTAGAGAAAATCCGGAAGCGGAAGCTTGAAGTCTCAATAAGGTAGGGAGATCACATTCTCTTGTTTTTCTATGGTTACATTTTAAAAGATTAAAGCTATGCTAACACATATAGCAACTCTGATATGGCAAACCCAATGTTGTGGTTTAAAATCAAACTGGCCTGAGTGCATCAAACTCCACACCAACCAACTATTGCCATGACAGTTGATACATGTTTTGGCTAGAAACTTTTGAACAATGATATTTTTTCATTATTGTTCGCGTGGCACTAACTTAGCATATTATCTGATGGGTAGCAGAACTGGGATGCTAAATCACAAGAATAATGCTACCAAGGACAATGGCAGTCAAAGAGACAAAATGATGGAAGTTGATTTGGTTAACACCGACAATGAAAAGAGTGGAGCAGAAAGCGTGGCAAAGAATGTGGGAAATGAGGCACCTTCATGTTCCGTGGATGTAGAGAGCAGTCCACATGCTCCAAGAATGGATGGATCCGTAGATCTTGCAAGACAGACAAGCCATGAAAATGTTCCCACTCAAGTAGCAAGTGAGGTGATGTTTCATATTATATGTATCGTTTAACTGCTTCTATTCATGCAATTGAACTATCAATAATCTAGTAGATTTAATAGTTCATTAATGGCCATGACATACATTTAACAGATGCAATAATGTATATTAATTATTGAATGAAAAGAAAGGACCTGGAAATTTTGTTAGTGTCTGTTGTCTGAACCATGACAATATTTTACACTTTGCATTTTCATGAATTTGTTTTTTATCGACTGTTTCCTGCTGTCACATTGCTGCAGGCTTTGAATAAACTGCCTTCACCTACATTTCGAGCTCCAGTTGATGATACTCAGGTTATCTTCATAGCTTTACTGTTTTAAGGAAGCTGCAAATTAAGCTGTTTTTTTTTTGCACATAAAGGTTAAAAGTTTACCCTTATACTAATTGTAGGATCTTTTTGATGACTCCCAACCAAGTGATAAGATTGCTGGGCAGCATGATGAACTACAGGATAGTCCTTTGGAAGAAGATTTTGCTCCATCTTTATTAGCTATGAACTTGAAGTTTGATTCTGCTCCTGTTGATGATAGGTTAGTGGGTGGGTGGGTTTTGGGACTCTTTTTTGCATTGCAGGTTTGTGATATTTTCTTTTTACACATTGGGTTTGATAAACTACCGATCACTGGGTTTGATTGGTGCATGTAACTGTTTCTTTGCTTCCATCCAGTAGTTGCAATCAAACTTAATTCTTTGTTAGTATCTTCAACGATTAATTTGAACATTGAGATGCTCATTTTATAACCGAGAACTGAATTTTACAATAAAATATAATGTTCTTAACATTTTATCTTTACAGTTCTTCAGGTGAAGATGACAATGAGAAAGAGAATATTGATCCTCATCCTTGTGGAGTTGCCGACGGTAGCTCCTCTCCAAAAGGAGATCCCGTGAAAGATTTTGTAGATGATGAAGCTGAGGAAGAAGATGATAGCGACAACGACCTGATTCGCTTTGAAGAAAACGAAGATGAGGATATGGATGGCTTTGAGGAACTTGATGACATGATAGCAACTGAGTGTGAAGAAAGAACTATTGACAATGAAAGACGTAATGAACTTCATCAGAAGTGGCTTGAGCAACAAGATGCAGCAGGAACTGACCATCTTATGCAGAGATTGAAATGTGGTTCAGAACTTAGAGACACAATTTTGCATGACAAAGTACGTGAAAGTGATGAGGATGAAGAAGAATCTGACGATGAAGCCAAGGAAGACGTCCCCAGGAATTCTGCCCGTATAAATTCTAGAAAGGCCAAAGAAATAATTCTGCAGATGTTTTCTGATAAAGAAGATGCTTTTTTGTCTGACGAAGATGACACAGAGAAGAGGCATGTTAAACAGCGCCTCCTAATAAGAGCTGTGAGTTTCTATCATTATAGTATTGAATCAGAGCAACAAATTCTGAATTCGTCCTGCCTTCATGAAGTTCTGTTTGTTGTATAAGCATTTAATTGCATGACATGAATTGTTTTTATTCTTATTTGTTTCTTTAACAGTTGTTAAACTTTGTTATATTGAACAGGAAAAACAGGCTACGTTAGTATCACCTGCTGATGACGAAAATTCCAGGGAAGTTTTTGGTCTTATAAAGAAGCTTAATATTGTCTCTGACAATAAGAAAAAACCGAAAGCATCATGTAATACATGCTCTTTCTAATGCTCTATATTTTAGCTATGTGTTTTGTACCTCATGGTTCATTATTGTTTTACAGCATTCTTTGACACATTGCTGAAAGGAGGAAATAGTAATAGCTCTTCAGAAACTCTCCTACACCTGCATCAAAATGAGCATTTTGGCCGTTCGGTTAGTTTTTGTTATTTCAGTAATAAAGGCTATTCCCTTTATTATGCAAAATACCTTAAATTTATCATCGCTGACTAAAAATTGTGTTCTTTATGAGTCAGTCTACTCTTTAGTTTGCATTACCGATAACACGAGTATATTTGGCCAGACCACCAAAGAAAAGTGTTTGTTTAACATAAGCAATAGAAATTTTGCAAAATCTTGTGGATCCACTAGCCAATTCACTGTATATGTGCTATTTGAGTTCCGTAACATCTATGAGAAAGTTTTCTTGGAAGATGTCAATCTTTAATTATACAGCTTCACAACACCAAGGTTGTAGTAATTGTAGTTTTTTTCTATATTGGGTTGCAGTCATCTTTCCTTGGACGAGTATCAAACCTCCACATACCATCATCTCATAAAAAAGGGTCAGGAATGGTTCGTTCTTTTATATTTGAAAGGGACGACAGCAATAGTCGGAGTTCTATCTCAGTGTCAGAGGATTTTTCGGATACAGTAAGTTCCTTCCTTTTTTTTTTTTTAATAAAAAAACTGAGAATTATATAATATCATTTGCTCCTGTCCTTGTCCTTGTCTTTGTCTTTGTTGAGTTGAGTTGTATTATCTGTGCACGTGTTTGGGGATTGAGGACTAGACAGCTCTCGGGTTGAAGGTACAGTTCATTGGTGTTATGTATGTTGGTGTATTATGTCGCACATTGGTTTATATAGAATAGTTACTCACATCTCTAGTAGTGTATAGTTTCCCGTCAGGCCTATATATAGTATCTCTTTAGTTAAATTAGAGCAGGTTTAGTCTGCCTCTTGGCCATGTGTGATTTGGTGCCCTTGGATCTCCACCAATAAGGATTCTTTTTCTCTCAAACTTGTGCACTCTTAGCTGTAATCTTCTAAGCAATGAGCGCTGCCTTCCTCAAGGTTGCCACCACTCTTTTCAAACTCCGTTTGACCTTAGTAACTTTCTTTCGCTTGGTGGCCAGATTACTGTTAGCTGCCACCGTCTTGGTCTTGTCTTTTCAAACTCCATTTAACCTTAGTATCTTTCTTTCGTTTAACCTGTACTGAGTGCTTGTTTGGCTTTCAATATAATTTATTTATGATTTGAAGTCAAACTCAAACATTAATTTTAACCACACATTCACAACTAGTACATTTCATGGGACCATTACTCTTCATTATAATTTTTCCCAAACAAGCTAACAAATTTTTGAACCTGATGAATAAGCCGGCAGGGGGTTTTAGTAGTAGTGCTGGTTGTCTTGTTATCTCTTCTGTACTTGCTTATATTGAACGAATGCTCTTCATATAATCTGCCGCTAATGTATTTTCTTTCAGTGCTCTGTTGTATTTTTTTCTGAGTCACAAGTCTTTTAATTTTCAGGCAATGCTATTGATCAAATTGTATGTATTTTTTGTTTTTTTCCAAAGTTCAACCTATGGGACAATTCCATGATTCAGTGTCCAACCTCCAACTATATA